TGCAGTGGAGTTAATAGTGACTTTTCTTTGGCCTATAAACAAGTTGTGCAACTTTAGGGTTTTTACGTCACTTTTTTTACATCAAAACTTACCTTGCAAGTGCTAAATCCCAGTTTGTGGGCCTCTCTGTGAGCTGTGGACCTCGAAATTCTCCTTCCAGCAGCATCATTCCACAGAGCACTTAATTGTAAATAATTGGCACGCCTGTTTTGACGATTATTCTTCTTGATGCTCTTCGGTCGGCGTTTGTGATATTACTTTTTTTCACATATTGCAATTTCTGAGTTTGGTTTCCCAGAATAAAAAAATTTAATTATCAGTAACCGAATTTTCTCACTAATAACCTTTCCTCTACCCATTTTGAAAATCTTAACTACCCAAAACTATTTTAAACGTATTCTGACAGCTGTGACTAATAAAAACAATTGTCATGGCTTTTATTTTTCACAGCCACCTATGCGTTATAGACTTATTTTGCATTGAAATAAAAATAGGTTGACATGCTGTAATTGCAACATGTGTTATTTTTATGCTGCAAGTTTGATTAGGAAGTGATAAAGTTGGTGTTTTCTACTATATATTATCAATATATTCATTGTTAATATTTTAAACCTATAACACCCTGCAACATTTTTATTATTTGTGTTTGATAAGAAAAAAACTAAGATTTCAATCGTTGGGCTAACTGAAGTGGGAAGGGGCTCCTATATGCTTGCAGTGCATTGTTTCTCGTCAAAATTACGTAGTTTTGGTGCATACGTCTGACTCATTTGACTTACTTTGCCTGCCAACGTGAGAACGTTGGATCAAGGCAATAATAATACTTGCCGGTTGAAAGGTCTAGCTTCGTTAGGCTTCTATCTCTCTCTTTGCAAATTATGCAAGAAGTACCGTTACCTGGAATCGTCTAACACCTCAATTATCTGCAAACACCCACACTTCCAAAAAATAGAAGAATAGAACTGTGGAAAAATTGACTTATAAGCTAATAAACTGACTACATACTGGGATTTTGGAGGCAAACAAATCTTAGACTTGCTCCTTTTACCTAGTATTTTGGTTTCTTTGAGTAGGATTTACATATACCAAGAAAAGTTTTCTGAAGTAACTAAGAATCTCTAATGAGTATTTTCTTACATCTCGGCTTGGAATTCTTACCAAAAAAACCTTATTTTTCAAAAAATGAGAAATCTCCATAACATTAAACTGTTAGTTAAAGCTTTTAATTTTGAAGCATTATTTCCTGTCACACCGATCTGAATAGCAAATTTAAATTCAGCAATAAACGAAAATTTGGAAAACTGGTCACATTCATGAAGTATAGCAACGAAGTCTGACCAAATTGAAAATAATTCAAAAAAGTACAAATCTTTCATTACCGAAACTGAGGATTGACAAATATAGTGACATATAAATCCGAACACCCAGTTAAATGGTTTTATTTTAATAAAATTTTGTACAAGTACTTAATGAAGCATAATAAGTAAATGATAAAAATTTTAAAATGATTGCACTGCTTTAAAGCCCTTTGACCTTTAATAATGTGTGGATGCACCCTGATGTGCTACGCATTCTCCAACGCGCCTAGGCATGCTTCTGATCAGGTGGACAATGTCCTCCTGTGGTATTTCATTCCAGGCAACCACCAACTCCTCTCGAAGTACTTCTAGAGTCTGAGGAGGACGTTGCAAATTGAGCAATCTCCTACCCATCATATCCCACACGTGCTCAATTGGGGATAAGTCGGGAGATCTTGGTGGCCATGGTAACAATGTGACATCATTATGTTGAAAGAAGTCTATTGTGACTCTTGCAACATGTGGTCGGGCATTATCTTGTTGGAAAGTTGGATCTGCCAGGGTGTCCAGATAGGGTAAAAGATGGGGTTCTATAACTTCGTGGATATAACGCTGCGCGTTCATGTTACCTCTGATGAAGATTAAAGGTGACCTGGAACCATAAGCTATAGCACCCCAAACCATAACTCCAACAGTGTGATGAACATGTCTTTCAACAAAAAACTGTGGATTCCTCCTTTCACCACGTCGCCTTCTAACCCTGGCACGACCATCGTGCATACCTAAACAAAATCGAAACTCGTCACTAAAGACAATAACTGTTCCATTCCTGATCCCAGAGTGACCGTTGTCTGCACCACTCAAGGCGATTACGTCAAGAACCAAAATCCGCCAACGTTGATTCTTTACTGCGGCTGAAATATTCATTTTTAGAGCGTTAGTGAATTAAAAAAAAGCAGTATAAAAACCGGAATGTCCAACTGATAAGGCTGAAAATTTTTTCACTTGTTATTTACAGTAAGAGAAATACATTCACCAACTTTTATTAAAATAAAACCATTTAAACTGGGTGTTCGGATTTATATGTCACTTAGTATATTTAGTAGAGTTTATGTAATACATTTTCTGTACCTTATTAGTATCGTCAGAACTCCAATGTGTTAACACCTTATTATCTCAACAACTTGGAAATGTGCGTGCGATGTATGTACACCGTGTATGCATCAACATTTTCCTGTTTGTATTTATTAGAAATGTTATAGACAATCGGCGAGGCATATTAATTATTTTAACCGTTATTATGAATGTTCGTTGACCCAAAAAACGTCTAAACAAATAAAGTACTTCGGTAGGTGTTGTAATGACTTTATCTGTCGGCACGTCTCTACGCGATCTCGAAGAAACTTATTTGGTGTGGGTTGACATACCATCAACGGACGTACGCTGACAACTCCCAGACGAACTATCTTATAAAAATACGCTTTTTTGGTCTGCATGCTGCCCTCTATAATAGATTTAGATCGCCTGTCCGGAGCTACAGGATGTTGCTTTCTCATGCAAACTTCCATCCTATGGCCTTCCAAAGAAGCTTTGTTGATGGGTGGCTGACTTCCTGCAACTAACGAGTTCTCCTCTTTAAACCACAATGTCTACGCGGGTGTTCCCCAGAGATCGGTCTTACATATGAACCACCTACTTTCCTGTACGATCAATCCGATCTGCATCATTGATGATGACAGTGCTCTACATGCAGGAATACAGAGTGGCAAGCCAATCTCTACCGGTGAGTTGATGAAGAGGATACTAGCAGCGAATTCCTCTCTCACGAGAAACCTGGAATTATCACTGCTGGTACAGCTTAATCTTTGAAAAGACAGTACACCTTGACTAACAAAAATCGCCCAGCGCTCATCCGATTTCCATGGGTGGCCGAGTTCTGCTAAAGTGCCATTCAATTCGGTTGGTCGTAGTCCGCTTCACCTAAGACTTGATCTGGCAAAAACACATCTTATCCATTTAAGCACCTATTGGACATATTGCATTCATCATATATATTTCCATACTGTTATCCTCACAACTTGATTGAGAAATACTTTCGACTCTCGCGTGCGGATGCATCTGTCTAGCAGTCGTCATCTGCTGCTCGATTGAGTATGGATCGTTGATCATCATCCACGCCAAATGTACACGTAAAAGATTTTTTCGCGAGATCCCGTAGTGAATGGATGTTTTGACAGTTTCAAGTTACAGCGAGAGTAGTTAGATGACGTATGTTGCGAACATTTTTGATCTAATCTCCCTGGTAAACTTAGGACGGATTTCACCAGGATTGTCAAATCAACAGTCCCTTATTCTCCACCTATAGGGTAACAGTCCGTTAAATACAGCGAATGAGCTTCAAGTTCCAATCAACAAATTATAGCAACCAATAGCTATGAAATGTTGAAAACAAAATACTGACAAAGTATGAGAAGAAAGCTTGTCATTGAAGCTTCACCAGCTTGTTGAATATTAAGAAATTACATATAATTTAATCAAAACTTAAAAGTGTTCGATTTGTGAATAATTTCGATTTCAAATAAAATTTTTAATTAAATATGTCGATAGTTTATTCATGTTTACATTATTTTCTTCACTTGATATGCGATTTTACTGATTCAACATCATGTTTTTTCCTATAAACCTCTTGCAAGTAGCCATTAAACACCTACTTGATGGCAGGCTCTACCAAAAATTTCATATATATTGCTCATTTCCAAACATTCATTCATTTACTTGCCGTTCGTCAGTACCATTATAGCACCGTCGATTGATATACCCACAAAACCATTCAGGATTTTTGATATCCATACATCCCTAGTCAAATATTCTTTGGTTGTTCAGAAACTGAACAAACATCCACACTATAGTGACAGCGATTAAGAAATACTCAAATATACATGTATGTCGTAAAGCTCGGCAAACTTAAAACCTGCAAAAAAAATAGAATTTGCAACAACTTTCTTGTTTCACTGAGTAGAGTCATGTGGGGTAACTGTACGCGATTTCTAGTAAATTGCTTCCAGAATAAAAGTTTTAGTTAATTGAAAAAAAATCAACGTTTAATCTAATGTAATAAACCTTTATAAACAAAAACAAAACATAAATTTTTATTTCTAATAATGATTGTTATTTTAATTGAAACTTTTAATCAACAAGGGAAATGCGGACACTTACCCCCATCAGTGGGAAAGTGTCCGCATACCGTCAGTTAAGTGTACGCACAACAGAAACTTAACCCCTTGCACATAGATCGCAAGTAAATATGCCACTCTCGTAACTGGTACAGGCTTCGTGCCACCAATATTTACAAATTGTACACTCAATCCAGACTTCAGCCGTATCTCCGTACTTTTCTCGACATAATGGACAATAGTATTCTTGTTTCGAAGATTTACCTGTAGCCTTATCCTTTTTAATATTATATTTCATCTTTTGATTGCTTTTGGTTTTCATGTCTATCTTTGGTAATCTAATCTTCTTAGATTTTTGATCAATTTGTTTTTGTTTCTCCTCCAACTGAGTTTTAAAAGGACTATTGGTGATTATTTCCGACTTGCTAGGATTTTTGCGTCGAGTCTGCATGTGTATCGCCTTTGGTAATGGGCTTATATCGATTAAGGAAATATGAGACTGGTTATGGAAATGTTACGAAAAATAAAGGGCGAAATAATCTGTTGCTAGTGAAATTCTTCTATTTTGTCCATTGGATCTGAAGGTGCGTGTAATTGTTCATTGGCTATGCTAATTTCAGCTGCAGCTTCCATGTTCCGTTGTCTCGGTAGTGTTGAACTTTGTTGATTATGCACTTCAGCAATAGTTACAATGACGTGTTGTTCAGCCAGTGATGCACTTGGTTGACGATGCGTTTCAGCAATAGTCAAAATCTCTTGACTTTCTGCCAAATCGGCAGACGTAGAAGCACTTAATTCTTGTGCAATAGATGTAATAGCTAAAGGTCGATGACTTTGCCTATCTTGAATTTCTACTGTAGCTACAGAATTTGAAGTAGATGGATTTTGAGTGGTCTAGAACGTAAAAATAATACTTGAAATCTTGAATTTACTTCAGTGGGGTAAGTATACGCATTTTAATACTGCGGACACTTACCCGCGAATACTTTCCCCATCCCGTCAAAGCAAACAAAAATTATGAAAAAAATAAGTACGACTTACCTTAGAGAAAACACGCAAATACTAAGAAAATATTGATTAATTTCTCCTGTTCACAGTCACTTTGTATATACAATTAGAATAATTGTAACATTTTCACCATGCAAATGAATTTCACGAAAATTAATAATATATCTATACAAAAATAATATCGTCGAATAATTATCCGCAGCCCTATACGGCAAACCTGTGACGCAGTACTTTCGCTTGGCGGTCAACATCGAACTAAATGCGGCAGGTGTCGACAAGTTGTCAACCGTGGTATTCGCACGTTGTTCATTTCGGACACTTACCCGCTGCGTACAGTTACCCCACATGACTCTACACATTCTAGGTTACATTTATATTAGACATTATTTGAATGACAGCTGATTATTACATTTCAAAACTCTCCAACGAGTGACACACGTGTGGGATAGTCAACCCTTGGTCCCAGAGGAGTAAGCTCCGCCAACTGTTTAAATATCCTCTACTATGCCCTATAAGACTATACATGGAATTTTTCCCAAAATCGTAGCACAACACTTGGAAAAATGCAAACGAAAATTTAAAATTATTTCCATTTCCACAAAATAGCTCCGTCGGTACCCCGGGTTATACATTTTGACGACAGCTTGTCATTCTTGTCAACTGGGCTGCAAGGTGCGATGTTGCCTCTACTATCTTACAGTTTGCTGAAATCTTATGACAAATAAAAGCTTCAAGTGAAATATTGTCGAATGTGTACGGATATGCATAGAATTTAGAATATAAATTCATATTACAAATTTCAGATTGTCTATGCATGGACGTGAACCGGAGTTTTTGGTATTTTTACCGAAAAGAGAATATTTACCGTTAACATCATTCTCCTCGATTTTTCAAAATAATTTAAATATTTCTATACTTGCCGAAAAACAGCTGAAACAAAAATAAAGATAAAAGTTAATTTAATGTAGTCCTCAGTTTTATACCCCATATCAATCAAACATATGCATACACCTCAGGCAGTCGGGCACATGAGAGGCGTACATTTTGTTGCCTATGATTACGAACGCACATCCTCATCCCTTACTCCGATTGCCCTGAAACCATTTTTGTTCATACAAAAGGCACAAACTGGTAGATTACCGTAATTACCTCAGCACCGGACAAAATAACAAAAATCGGTACATTTCTACAGGTACTTATTATGTACAACACCCTGTACGTGATATACAGACAAAAATAGATTGCCAGGCATGAACAGTCGTCAAAAACAGTGAAAATATCCTACTTAATCTAATAGCTAGAAAATCGGCCTATTATTTCTCTCATTTTCATTGGTCCATTTAAATATCTGACCGTCTTTTGTGAAATGATAAAAATTTGAAGTTCTATGAAAGTTATCTTAGTTCTAAAGAACAAAGACATAATATTACACATATAATGTACCCTTATTTATAAGTCAACCGTTTTTTCATGACTTTATTCAACATTTCAATAGAAATCACTGATATTCAGAGCAGCTTTGACAGCTTCCGTCAAATTGCATTTCGATAAGGTCTTTTCCTATTGATCCAACTGACTGTCAAATATTAATGTTGGTGAAATTGGCTCTTAGCTGCCTTGTTTGAACCTGAAATAAAGAGACCAGTCGTTGTTTGTGCAATGTATATATCAATAAAATCAACCGTTTGATATGACAATGCGGTTCCTATATCTACGATGACCTCATAGTCCTCTCCGTCATCATTTAAAATCATCATTTATGATTTACTCTGCTTAATTTGTTTTCTCATAAATGTTGTTTTAACTGTGGAAATATTCTGAAATTACTGGGACACAGAACAAGCGAATGCGATGGGTTATCTATCAAAGCCTGCTTGGTGGAGGGCAGCCACAGTAACCAGTATTTCCTCTTGAAGAAATACACCGCTCTTCCTCCAACGTTTCTCTTCAAAAGCATTTTTCGATTTGGGTTGCATTTGTTATCTTCCAAGGTATAACAGGGAAGAAAGTGTACCATTAAAATCGCAACTTTTCTATTATATTTTTTATTCGATTTTCGCCTCCCACGCAAGGTGTCCCGAATTAACTCCAAAAGTAACCTGAGCTACGTCAGGAGACATCTACCTCACACTGTAATCCTCCTGTACTATTGGTGGTGCTTCACCAGAAAACTTATAATTGGATGAAATGAGACTATTGAATTCAAAGTCCACCAACCATACTCCTGACTATTGCAGCAAGGAATTTATGACCATGTTCCGATAGGTAATCACAACCCACTATATGGTCATTGCAAACAGATTTTGATTTAAATGTTCAAGCACTCTCATGGATGAGCAATTACCGTTATTGCCACTTTATTCAATAACCGTTTAAATACATATTTACTAACGGATAACAGTACAATTCACATAATTTACACAAACTCTAAATATATGACTAGAGGTGGACAAATTTATTACACATTATATTCTCCTTTCTATCATTTGTATAGTATTGCCTTCTGACATTTTGTTTTTCCAAAAAGCTCTTTCCTGTCTCTCCGATTTGCACACTTTGTGGCTCTATAGAAAAAAAAACACTGCGTTTGTCGGGATCTTGTAACGCCACTAATATCAGAAGCTTTCTATTAGCAGATCTGTTGATGATTGGAACTTCATCTAGCAATAGTCAATCAAATAATAGGTTGAGTATACTATCAATATTCAAATATAGGTATTCTATCTGCCGATTTAAAATGGCGAATAGTCAATGCTGTCATTGAACTATACTAAGTGACATATAAATCCGAACACCCAGTTTAAATGGTTTTATTTTAATAAAATTTTGTATAAGTACTTAATGAAGCATAATAAGTAAATGACAAAAATTTCAAAATGATTGCACTGCTTTAAAGCTCTTTGACCTTTAATAAAGTGTGGATGCACCCTGATGTGCTACGCATTCTCCAACGCGCCTACAGTATATTCAGATAAGAGATAGACCGGACATAAACAAGACCACGTGATCATCGAACGCTGTAACATTCGGCAGGGACGTATTAAGAGTCACGCAGTACATATTTTAGATAGTAGATGCTGCTTTGCGTAACTTTGTAGTAAATTAGCAGAATTCGATGTGTATACGATTGGTGATGGATATAGGATCATGTGGGGGTGGGGTAAGAAATATATAATGATGTAAATATACATAAGGGTTTCAAAATTTTCGCTTCGATTTCCAGGCTTCGGATGCCGCCTGATGTTTGGTGAAATACAGTCGAATATAATCTCAAAACGGCGTTTAAATTAGCCTAAATTAAAAATAATCGTATATCTCTTAAAATTGCTTTTATAATATTGATTAGTATATTTTTTGATTTCTAGGTAAATATGTAACCAAATTAAAACGTTCAAAACGTAAAAATATGTGCATGGTTGAACATTGTCAGAAAGTAGATTCTTGAATAGGTTTTGCCAAAATGGGTTCAAAAATGTCAATAATTAATTAAAAAATACAGTAGCTTTATAATTACTTATAACTTACCGAATTTGATGAACGACATCTTTTATTGGAAAGATGAGCTTGATGAGCTTTCATCATCGCTACTGCCTGAAGCACCAACGTCAATAATGAATGGCTCGACTTGTTCCTCTAAAATATTGTCCAGTTCCCACATTCTCTTTTCAACTTTGTCTTTCACGTGCTTAATACAGTTTTCCCATTTTTGCGCTGTTATTAATTCTAGTGCTTCTTTGAAAAGTCCTTTGATGTCACAAAATTTAAAAGTTGTATTGTGCTTAGCTATATAATTTTTAACCTCTGCCCATATGAGCTCAATGGGATTGAGCTCGCAATGGTATGGAGGTAAACGGAGCACAGTTTTATTTTGAGTTGCTGCCATTTCGTCAATGGCGTATTTTTGATATTCCGCCTTGTGATCCATGACAATTCTTAATAATTGTACTTTCAGCATTGCTTCTTCAAAGTTGATATTTTTCGAGCGGAGCCAATTTTGAACATCAACTTTCCTTGAAGCCGTTGTTGGGACCTTCTCCATTCTTCGAGAATGATAAGGCGCATTATCCAACACAATTACTGCGTTTTCCTCTAAGTTCGGTAAAATGTTTACTGGTCATTGGCTCAGAAAAGGTGTGATTTTTTTTGTATTGTCTTAACACATTAAACACTGATGCGCGACACACCCCAACTTTGTGAGAAACCTTCACAACAATTTCTTTGATGGTTGATGCCTCGTTCTCCTCGCGCTCGATCTTATATATATTCAAAATGACCTCTTTCATTTCTGCACTCAGGTGTCCTTTTTTAGAGCGTTTCCTAGGTGGACTACAGGAGTTTACAACTTCATCGGCAGTATCTGTACTACTGGGCATTTTGCGCAAGCAGTTGATAACAATAACAATCAATAACAGGGTATAACAATAACAACGACAAACTCAACAACTTAATAAGATAACAAACGAAAACGTCCAAAGAAATATCAAATTGCAATGATGCACAACGACATACGTAACACGTCTGAACCTGAATGTGACTCTGCCTTGATACGACTGCTCTGCCACTCGGCATAGTCATTTAATTGCGAATTGACCAATGAGGGCTCCTGTTTTACGTCGAGACGGCGGCGTTAGCGTCAAAATCATCCGAACCTTTTGTTTACATCCGGTCTATCTCTTATCTGAATATACTGTAGACATGCTTCTGATCAGGTGATCAATGTCCTCCTGTGGTATCTCATTCCAGGCAACCACCAACTCCTCTCGAAGTGCTTCTAGAGTCTGAGGAGGACGTTGCAAATTGAGCAATCTCCACCCATCATATCCCACACGTGCTCAATTGGGGATAAGTCGGGAGATCTTGGTGGCCATGATAACAATGTGACATCA